CTCCCCGCCCCGGGCCGAGCTGCAGGCCGACAGCAGCCCGCGGCATTGTTACAGGAGGTACAGGCGACCCATCTCCACATCAGTAACAGGTTATTGAAAAACAGTAGCTATCTTAATTAGCTCATTAAAAAGGTCCATGTAACAACCTACCTGCTGATGCGTAAACTCACCCGTGCGAGGCGTTCTTCAGAGCAAGCCCAGGCAGCACCCGGCCATCCCATCGGATCACCCATTCTAGAGCCGGTTTAGCCCTTTGGAAGAGGACTGGGTTAACTGGAGTGGGCCCTCGTTTCCGCCGGCAGCTCCTCCGGGCAGGCGGGCAGAGGCACCCGAGCGGTGCAGGTCCGCAGACCGCGGCTCGGTTCCCCCTCGGTTCTCCGTCGCCGAGCCGCACGGACCCACTGCGCAGGGCACAAAAAGCAAACCGGGTGCTGGTTCGGGGCTTGGCACCGGTGTTCCCAGCCAGGGAGCTCCGGTGTGGGTGGGATGTCCCCACCGCTGCTGCTGCCAAGCAGCCGGGTCTCGGCCCCCTGCGCCAGCCGCAGGGGTTTCACCGGGCCACGGAGAAAATACTCGCTCCGGGTCAAGCACACATACGTCCTGCAAGCCAAGCTTTTTCACCATGATTTCTGGAAAAAGTCAATGCAGCACCTCGCTTCTGGGCCAGCGACCTACTCGACTTGCTGCACTTTCACGTCCTCGTTTCGGCCACGCTTTGGCTGCCCACGAACGCACGCTGCTTCTCTGAACAACCGCTGCTGTCTGACCTGCGTCCCACTGACCGTCTGGCACTGAAACGTGGACAAAATCCCAGGGACCGAGCCCCGCGTCCCGCGGCAGCGGGCGAAGGCTGCGCTGCCCTTCTCCGTCTCGGGGGAGGACAGCACGCAGTCTGCTAACTCAACCACTTCGTTCGGGCATAGGAAAACTTTTTATTTACAACGTGTGAATTAAAAAAATATTTGACAAAAAAGGCATACAGTATTTTATACTAAAAGAATAAAGATTTTTATTAAGCACTGTAAGTTGCATTCAATAGCCTTCAAATACACCACACCACAATCCATCGACAACCAACCAAACCCAACAGTAGTTCATTCTTGCACAATCCATGAGTTGGGGCAGAACTCCCTTCAACTTACATTAAGATACCTACTTAGCTCTTGCGGGCAGGGAATGGGGAATTACACCTCATTTCTGATCACTAATGTGTGATGAAGAGCATCAGGAGAATTATATGAAAACGAATATAAAGAAATGATTCTGATTTTGAAGTACATTAAGTTTGGAAACACTAACAAAAACATCAAAATGATACAGGTATATTTGCTTATACTAAATTCTTGATGGGAAAGTTCTCAAGAACAAGCCATTTGTTTCCTGCTACAGAAGGGGGGTACTTTTTTTTTTTTGAAGATCAAAGCTTTTTTTTTTTTTGTTTTTCACAGAATTTCATATCTGCTAATATGAAGGCATAAAACAGCAACAGAGAACAATAATGCATACAGCAATGAGTACACCAGGGTAACGTTGATATTCAAAACGGCTAGATAATTTTTTTTTTTAAGTTTTAGAATAAATGCAACAGAGGTCAATAATCACAAAATTTTAAGGTTAGAGCAAGATCAGTCAATGACTAAACATAGTTAACATCTTTTATAGGACTATTACTGATTATTAGCTTTTTGTTTTGCAAATGGGCACAGTACTTGTAAGAATGGAAGAAAGAGGACAATAACATGCATAATATTAACTACACACTTTAAAAATTATGAACCATGCAGAAGTTTAGCTCAAATAGTAGTACTAATGGTCTACGTCTGATTCAAAACCACATAGTTCATTGATCACGGATGCATGGTATTAGTCACAAAAAGTTTCAGAACACATTGTGTTTGTTTTGAAAGGTCATTTGCATCTTCTATGATTTCAAGTTTATCTCCATGTAACTTGCTTGTAAAGTATGTATGATGTATATTTAAACTCAGCAGAACTGCAATATTACTCTATAATTTTTCGTTTCGATAGTTTGCACATTTTAACACAAAAGAACCACATCAACGGTGATGAAATTTAAGAAAGAAAAAACTGTGGTTGTGCCTTTTTCCCCCCATAATCATGAAATCAAAGCCTTAAAGAAAGCTTTATTGTGACACAGTAATGCAAAATCAAATATAATGGCATACATATGGTGCCAAGTACTAAAAATTATATTTTAAGCTATATATACTTAAAGACTGCCAAAATTTGTTTTCTTTATATTTCAAAAAACAAAACTACAAGCTTTTGTCATAACCAGTTTAAACTTCATGTATACTTCATTTTAAGTGCGGGAGTCAAATGCTCTTCATTCTCTTTCTTTTTTTTTTTTTTGTTTTATTGTAGCATTTTGACTACAACTGGTTAAAACTAAAAATGTGTTGTTTAAATCTCTGACATCAAAGAGGGATCCGAATTTCCAAAGTCCTCATTTTTCTCTTACGGAAAGGAAAAAATGTACGTAACTGTAGGCTCTCTTTCTTTCCAGATATTCCTAATCCTGACCCTTCCCAACATCCTTCACCCTCTATAAAAAATAAGTTTACTCTTCTTTTTTTAAGACAGTGGCCTCAAGAGTATCATCTTTATGGCAAACACTGTCTGCATTTAGTGCATTTAAGTGAGGATTTGTATTGCACATTTTAGAGTCATTACTCAAGGCACTTTCAGACTGATTGGAAGCCCTGATGTCTCCTGTGTTCCCATTCATCTGGGAAGCTGGTTTTTCCTCATTCACAACTCCATTTTCAGCCAGGGATCCATCTGAAGACACAATTGAGGATTTAGATTCCTCTGATTTTGACTTAAGTTCTTTGGCTACTTCTTCTGCTGAAGCAGCGTAAGGAGGTTTGCCCTAGTTTTTAAGAAAAGAAGAAAATTACTGAAGAGCCACTGCCATACGTTTACAACCTGTTACAAAGACACTATTAACAGGCAGCATGCAGTGTGCGGCAGAATCGCAAGCCAACCCCAGCGCCACGCACTGCCGGGACCAGGAGCGGCAAAGAAGAGCACCAGCACAGCACAGACGAGAAAACGTTCTCAGGAGCCCCGAGCGCCTTCCAGCCACGCCTGCCGATGCTCCTGGGGCAAAACGCCCTTTCTAACGCGGGTGCTTCAGTTCTTTCGCAACCTAAGAGCTACGCAAACGTCTGGAAACACGGCAGCTGAGAACCAATACACAGCTGAACTCTGCTTCTTGGTTCATACACGTTAGGATTTAATGGGATGCTCACGCGTTATCCAAATACAAACCAAAACATTCTGCAGACAGTTTCTGAGGAGGTGCAGAAGTACCATGCAGTATTACCTACACTAGTCTATATGCTTCTGAGCTCAGGAAAGTGGCATCACAAGAAAAGCATATACTAGAATCTTACAAGACTGAGTATAGCAATAAAAACCAGATTTATGCAGCATTAGAACGTATATTTAGTTTTTAAGTATCTGCGACAATGAATCTTAGCGTTCTAGAACCATTATGGGCTCTAAACAACACACAGTGAGTAGGCTGGGTTGCTGAGAAGGAACCTACTTGTCTGTCACGCTGTTAACAAAGTACTAAGAAATGACTTAAGATGCGGACATCTTACACACCTCAAGCAACAGCGAACAGTGCCACCGTGTCATAATCTTAGTTGTGACACACTAGAAACAGCATGGCTAGTACTCTTCTCAATTGCTGAAACATTCTGCAGGTCAGTAAGAACTGTTGTTCTCTCGCATCAGGATCACAAACCTTGTTGTCCAGAAAAATCACAAAAAATTCTGCAGTAGCATTGCACACGTATCCGACTGGCATCGGAGTACAATGAATATTTATCACATCTGCAAACGTACTTCTTGACGGGCTTTACTAAGTGCTAAGTTTTAGATTCAATACATGCATTTGTTTCTTTCCAGATCAAGAGCAGAAGGTCTCATGTCGTGAAATAACAGGCGTGTCTCACGTCTGACACAACCAAATCACGTACTTCAGCCTGATTCTCCAACCTGTGCTCCTATCGCCTCCTGCTGCGTATCGACGAGGCCGCGGCGCGGAGGCCCTCGCTCGGCGTGGGCACGCGTGGCTGCATCCGGCCCTGCACAGCCGCTCTCTCCTCTCCTGCCCGGGCTCACGGCACGGGGAAGCACACAGCTACCAGTTCGTCTTAACTGGGTACCAGAATCTACTTATTATGTGTTAAGCTTCCCAAGTGCTCCCTGGCACGTGCATTTTAATTATTTTAGACCAAGAGCCTTGTGATCACAAGTATTTACCATCCAAATTATGTATCATCAATAAAAATGTGAACACCCAAACTTGCTGACTGTCAGCAGGATCTGTCACCCACCTACAGCTACTATCGCAACTATATTTACATAGGTAAACCTGTAGTAAGCCCAAAATATTTGTGTGCTGCTTCTCAGGGCTCTCTTATTTCATAGGTTAAAGTACCTGGCAATTAGACACTATATAATTAACATAGTGGTTTCTCTTCTATTTAAAGATGTAAAGCTTTAAATACACAGGTACATTTGTAGACATATATAACCTGTATACACAGAAATTTAACAACAAAGTATTTGAATTTTCACACCTAGAACACAGCAAGTTTTCCTTGAAGTTAGTAGTTGCTTCGTTATCCACTGGAGAACATCCCTTCTCTTACTGCCTGATACGGGCAAACACCCCCCTACTATTCTAAACTGATGTCTCCAGGACAAATAGCTGATCCATATCATAGATTTATTGTGAAAGTTTTCCACTTATTTACCACCCACTCCTCCATTACCACTGGGACTTGCATCAACATTCCAAACTGCATAGCAGCAAGAACACCGGAAAAGGGAGGAAAACGTAACGCTGAAGCAAGGGGCATCTAATACTGCCAGCACTCCGCTTCAGCTGTATTTCAAGGATCCGTGGAAAACACAAACCCCACGGCCCACAGGCGCTTCACACACTGTCACCAACCACGACACTGTGTGCTCACGGGGGCAAAGGCTGGCCTGGTATTTCCTAAAAGTTTCGAGTAAGTTCTCATATTTGGAGCCATGCAGCAACAAAGATCCTTCTCCTGCTGCTGATTTTACTGCATGAGATTGGACCGTGGTCCCAAAAAAGAAACAGGGAAAGGGTGGGGGTGGAAACAGAAACAGCTAATTTGTTTCAGCTTTGTATTTCTCCCACTTTCCTAGACTTTCTTCTACTCCCACGGCTGGTCAGAGCTGTGCAGGCCCAGCCTTCATATCCAAAATACATTTTTCCGTGTCTGTCTTTATAACCAGAGTTTGCTTGTAACTGAGACAAAACACTAGCCCCTGCCATCCACCACTGGCTGCGCAGCTACAGCTTCAACACGTAGGCAGCATCACGCTAAGAAACACTCTTATCTTTTACAGTTGGGCTTGTCAATAGTAGCTGGTCTGGAAGTCCATACCACACCAGCCTGTAAACCAGAGCGTTTTGAAGTCAGGCACATGGCTGTATTACCTGAATTGCTCCCTGGCTTTTATAACCTCTCCCATAGTACCTTCCGCCTCTTCCAAAAGTTCTTATCACTGGAGTGGAAATAACTCCTCTAGGACGCCTGTAGGTTTCAAGGAAAAGGAAGAAAGAAAAGTACATGTAAGCTTTGCTTAAAATTACTTTCAATTTTGTTTCGCTGGAAGATTTTTTTCCTAGCTTTACTGTCTAGTGACTAACACATTTCTTTACAGAAGCAATACGAGTAAGTAATTCAGAATTACAGGGTTCTACTGTCTGTTAGTGTATGAAACCTAACAAACCTTTTGCTTTCGCAGCAATAAAATGACTATTTCTATATTTCACTTCTAGAGAACAATGATTGAGCACTTTCAAGCTTTGCAGAAACATTTTCAAAGTGTCAAATTATCCTTACAGCGCTTTAAAAACAGAGCTCAAAATACTTTCACCTTAAAAAAACATGCAAGCAAGCTGAACCATTCATCAGGCCACTTCTCCCATTTAATAACACTCCCCACATATAAACACGCTAGACAGAAGGAATCAGATCAAAGAAAGGAAGGCAAAATACAGAATTGCTTCAGTTTTTATGGGAGAATACAAAATTATCTAAGAACCTGAGAGGAAAAAAGGAGGCTTTGGCCACATCTGACACGTAGCAATTTATCCAGTTTGGATGCTTTCACACAGAGGCTTCCAACCAGGACATGTCAGGTGGTGGCTTTTTCATTTGATTCAATAAAGATTAGCTCAGGTCAAAACAAACCTTCCCTCGGCTAAAACTACTTTAATGCCATCAACTGCAGAAACTCCTATCATCATGTCCCAGACTGCTTCTCACCCAAACATTCGTTTTGCTTTCTCTATCAGAAACCCGCGATTTGCCCCCAAACCCCCCGCCCCGCCCCGAGGGCGGCCGCTCCGAGGCTGGCACAGAGCAGCCGGACGCTGCCAGGTCCGTGCCCGCAGCCGGCCCGGTCCCCACCTACCCCGTTTGCCACTCGGGCAACCAGCGCAGCTGCAGCCCCAGCGCATCTCATCTCCCACAGACCTGACCATTCCCCCAGGCCAGCGAGCTCCCCGTCAGCTGCACAAACACCGCCCGACGAGGAGCCAAGCTTTTCCGTCATGCCTCGGCCTCCTCTGCTGCAAAAACCAAGTCACACGGAACCAGCTCAGTGGAGAAACACTCCTCTGTGCCATGCCAGCCTCTAGCACACTGCAAATGCCTACACTGAGCCGTAAGAAATGAAACAGTGGGATTCAAAAAAAACAACAAAGAATAAAAAAGAGGAAAGAGTCGGGTTTTGTATTTAAGTAACACTCACTGTATTCTTGTCAAAGATTTTCACAGGGCTTACCTACCCCATTTGCTAATTTTTGTTTTACAAGGTGAAAGCATACCCTTCAGGGAGCTGAGTAAGATTGTTCCTACTCAGAAAAACCGCACTAAATATATTGATGGATCGAAGCCAATACAAAGCAGCCGGTATAATTTTACACAATAAGAACATCCGAGTTCAGCGTTGCAGAGAGGCATGAGACAATGGTGTAAACAAGCCTGCCATGATCCCCTCTGCCGAAACGGATAACAAAAATGAAGCGTGTAGGCCTAGGTGATAAACTGCAGACAATGTACTGTGCAGTTTCCTAGTAGTGTTCTTCAGTACAAAACAGCAGCTGCCAGCAAGGACCCCATCTTTAAAATACCTGTCATCAGACAGAACACCAGCATTAGCGTGTTTTCCTGCTAGGTCTTATTTTTAGTACCAACTGACACAACAAACAGACCAGCTGCCGGCAGTAGTTCTTCTGTCTTTGACTAATGCCAGTAACTCTACACGTAAAGAATTTAACACCAGTTATGATCTGATGGTTTTCCTGTCTTTTTGAGGTAACAGCTTGCACTCAAACCTAACTGCCCAAAGCTAGTACCTCTGACAGAAATAAAACACCTGATATTTTATCTCCTAACTCAAAAGCTACTATTGGAGAACAGTACTTCTGTCATAAAGGTACTCAGAAGAGCAATAACACCCTCTCAGTGACTTGACAGCTTCCTGGGTAAGGAGGGCTCAGTTCAGGATTGCCAGTGTTAGCTCCTGGCTACTGATGTTTTGCATAAATTCATGTATGCGCTTCTTCAGAAAATGGAGGAACTGCTACCCTGCGAGGGAAGTCAACAGCCCGTCCAAATGTAAGCCAGACCTGAGCCTGAAGGTGTCTCCAGCTCATCACTCCGGGTGCCTCAGTCAGACAGCATCTCTGAGCACGACACTGTCCACTGCCCGGAGGTTCTCCACAAACAGTACTGCAGTCAAGGGCACTGAACTGCAGAGAACTAACAAGCTCTGCAGTAAGCCAGATTCTGTTTTTCATGAGGATCCACGAACAGCAGAACTTGTAACCACACACTAACCTCATTTAAATAATGAAAAATGTTATTTTGTCCACTGAAACTGAGGAGTAAGATTAAAGCAGCCCAAGGAGCCCAGCGCCTCATCACACACCTTGGCTTACTCCTCTGGCAGTCCAGCTGCTGCTCTGCCAGAGCACTGCATGGACCCCGCTAGCCTGCAGGCTGGCTGACAGCTGTCTGAAGCATCTACAAGAGCACTAAACGTTCAGGTTTTGGCAACTGAATCTCACTCTGGAGAACAAAATGTTCCTACCTAAATTCGCTCCCCTTCAAGCGCTGGCTCTGCTCTCACACCCGTGCTGTTTCCTGCTGCTGGACTTTCTAATCTTTGTTTCTGCTGTTCTCACCTCTCCCTGTCCCCACACCAGCAGCTCTCGCATCTCCCCCAGCCCCATTCTCCTGGGGCTTCAGATCCAACCATTTCTTCACTTGGTCCAACAAGACAGCTGTCGGACCAGCTCTCACTGACTTTAGCAACTATGCTTGACAGTGCACATTCGATTAAATTAGTGGATAGAGGGGAATTAATGCAGTTTATACTTCTTTCAGACTGCTTCCTGGCTCAAGACAGCATAAAAGTACCTACTTTATTCCATTCCTTTAATACAGTTAAAGACAGACATTATATACATCTACATCACATTGCTTTGGGATTGTCTCCTGCAACAGATCCAATCTTAGATAAAGACGATAGACAGCTGTGGAACGCACAGAACAATTAAGCCTATGGAAAAAATATGATCTTAAAAGTAAAGGACTAGACATTTTTTGGTAACAAAGCATTTCTTTTTCAGAAATGTTATGCACCTGTAATTTCAGCTGCAGTGAGATGAAATGGAAGAGCTGAAGAAATTAATATTCTTTTAAACACATCGCCCATCGTGACTGTAGCAGAGAACTATTAAACCTAGAAATGTCCTTCAGGTGTTTTCTGCTTCACAGAAGAATTACATAATGAAGTTATTAAAAATTTTATCATACTTCTTAATAAATGTTCTACTATGTCAAAGAAAGTAATTGAGTGCTGTGATAGTTTTGACTGGGTATAATACATTTATTGATTTCACATAAGAGAAAGCCCCCAAGTCATTTCCTCACGCGAAACAATCCAGTGTGTGTGTGTGGATATATCCATCTATCTACATATCAGATTCAGAGTATGAATTTTATTTGCACATAAAAATGCTTATACTCATCTGAATAACTGATTAAATACAATCTTAAGATGAATGTCAATGCTTTTCTTGACTACTCCGTGGGTACGATTTACCTAGTGTATCCCAAGACGTGCTGTACGCAATTTCTAACGCCTCCAGCTTCTCCCCGTTTTACCGTGTTCCCCAGTAATTCAATCACACACAACAAATACGTTCCACAAGACTGCACTTACCCTCTCGCTGGTCCTCCCACAGAAACGACCTGCAGAGGGAATGGCCCTCTACCCCCTCGTCCACGTCTGCTTCCAGCCCAATGGCCGACTACAGTGCCGGCAATTTCAAGTTTCCCTCCCTGAGAAGGAATAGGTTGGACTCCTGCACATAAAAGCAAAACCAAACCTTGATCTTCACAATCGTAAAATTAAAGTGACAAATGAATGGAAAACTCGTTTGCCCAGATTTTATCACATATACAGTTTCCTCTCTTGATACTGGGAGACTGCTTCTCATTTTGCGGTCTTTCAGAAGCATTGCAACCCCAAGAATCTTTCCTTCCCCCCCCTTTTTAAAAATAGATATGAATTCTGAAAAGAAAAATGATCTTACACCAGCACTTCCACTTCAGTAATTAAAAATATACTTTAGGTAAGCATTAAGAAACTGAAGTGAAATTTTACAAGCTCTCTGAAGATTGTTTTTTTTTCCTGCATCCCAATGAAGATGTAATTTTTGCAGGCAGTTATTAGTGAACACCAAATACCAGCATAAGACACAGAGATTATAATTGCTATCAACAACTTGCTAGGCAGAATTATGACTACTAACACTAAGTTGTTATGAAAATACAGCATTTAAACTGATTTGGGTGTAAGAGGTAGGTTCACCCTCCCCCCTACCAAGAAAGCAGCTAAAACTGCAATTGTCTAAAACACAAATGTATCTTCTATTCACGTTACTCAGATCTTTATACCTGTGTTTTGCCCTTAAAAATCAGTACTGGGGCACAACGTGTATTTCAGGAAATTTAGGTAAGTGCAACTGAGCCAGATGTTACTGGGAAGACCATCAGCACTGAAAGGGTTACAAAACACAGCATTTAAGCAGCCGCAATTAGTCTTCAAACGTTAATACGCTAGGAACTAAATTACTGATTAAATTCAAAAAGGTTCATACTTCCCCGTACAAGTCTTTCAGCTTCAAACGCACATTGTTTACAGGAGCAAAGTTATTCACACAAGGAAGCATTAGAGGTATGTTCGCTCTTAGGATAAAAGCTCAGAGGCCAGAAAGAACAGCTAAACACGTGGAAAAATTCTGCCCTCCGCGGGGGACTGGAGTTAACAGGTTTCCACTGTCCCGCCTCGTACCGGAGACGAGTGCAACGGGCACACAGGTAGGCAAGTAAATCTCACGCTTGTGTAACGCTGAAGTCAGTCACTTCTATGTAGGGTTGTTTTTGAGAAAAGCTCAACTGCCCCCGAATTTTAGGAAATAACTCGTTAATCCATTCAAGCAAAGTTCAGCTGATTACAGCTTCCGCCCTCGCACCCTGAAGCGCGGGAGCCAGACCGTCTCGTGAGGTTTTACAGCTGCCCTGTGTTCGGAGGAGGGTTTCTAGGCGTGAGAGGCTGGCGCCGAGGGGGCTTGCGGGGGGACCTGGGAGAGCAGAGCGGACAGCAGCCTGGGCAGGCTCTAGAGAGGGAGAGCTGAGACAGTTAGGGAGAAA